GACTTAGGGTTAGATATAGAAGCTATGTGCTCACCTCTGGTGGCCCGCATACCAGACTCAACAATGGAGGACCCAGTGTCTGGTAGCAGCCCACATCCCCAGCCACTGCTCTCCCATTGAACAAGGTCATTCTGAGTACCAGGGGGCAGGAAGAGCTGGAACTTATATCCCACGTGGCATGCCAATGAGCCCAAGGGATGATGGAAGCCCAGTGGATTGTGGGAAACAGAGTTAAAGGCACCCACTGCTTTGGGAAAGTGAGTAAAGGCACACTGCTATACCTCTTTAGAATTAATTAAACTTATTGCCATTTTTACTTCATGACTTGCCCCTAAAAAGGCTCCAGAATCATGTTTCTTGTACAAAAGAATATTTTTAAGTTGTAGCCCCCCCAAAAAAACTAATTTGTGGTCCGAGCCTTACCAGGTAAGTGAATACCCTAACCCCCCCTCCCCCCATGGCCTGTGGTGTGCCTTGGCCTCCTCAGGTCAGTATGCCTAAAAGGGGGCATACCCAGTAATCTGAATGCAAAAGAGGGAATGGGAGGGTGGGGACATTCGTGACCCGCCGACGTGGGAGCCCAGCAAGCCGTGCCGTCTTGAAGGCACAGGCTCCTCCCACAAACCCAGGCTAACCGCTGGCCAGCCTTCCAACTTAATGCAAATCCGAACAACCATCTGGGTATGAGCTATGGAAACTGAGCAGGGGAATCGTTGTATGGAGGAATCATTGTAAACAGGAGTCGGATGTGACAATAGGGATGAGCTTTGGGTTCGGGTCAAACTCTAGCTGTTTGCAGTTCAGGAAAACGGTGAACTAATAGCAAATTGATGCAAAGGTGGTTTGAAAGAGCCAACCATGGGGGGTTTTCTAGTGTGCCAGCCCCCTCGTGATAAAAGTCAGTGTTCCCAATAGTCTTTGTTAAGTGTGCGTTGGAACAAACATGGAGTAGTTAGGGAAAGCTCACTGAAGGCAAAGAAAGTTATATGTTCCTGCAGGTGCTCAATGCTCATTGCTGGAAAGAAATGTTTCTTCATATCTTTGCCTGGAGTCACGGACACACAAGCAATGCGTTGTACAGGTGTCTAGTGGATTAGGGAGAGATTTGAGAGTGTTTACAGGGACAATCAGAAGCTGGTGCTGATTAGAAACATGAATTTGTCTTATGGTTGCATGAGGGAGGCTGGCCATACTAGACACTCCAGCCTCATATTCAGCCCCTGGGCCACATAGTGTTATTGCTTGAGTGTCCCGCAGCTCCATAACACCAAATTGTGCTCTTCTGAATGAGTTCTAGAAACCACTGATGCTGTTCCCACAGCATCCTAACAACCAAGGAAAGCAGCCTAGTAACCAAGGACTCTTGGTTACCGAGCATCTTTGGTTGCTAGGACACTGGTGGTCCCAGTATCCTAGCAACCAATGATGCGTGGGGACAAATTCTGGCACCCCTAAGAACCTTTCATCTTGGAGTAATTTGTGCAGAGAGTGAAGAACATTATTCCAAGACGTAATCGGTCTTTTTTACTGACAGTCTCCAAAACAGCGGTATTTCTTTCTGAATTTGCCACAGCCATTAAGACCATAATGTAAAAGTTTCATAATAAGAACTTCCTGGATTTGTCCCACGCGCCCAGAGGCGTAACTAGAAATCACAGGGCCCCATAGCAAAATTTCTCGAGATCCCACCTGAGGGTGAACTGCAGAGCCCACCATATACTCTCTATGGTGGGCTTTGCAGGGTCACCCTCAGGTGCGCTGGTCGCACTCCTTACCTGTCCGCCTCCTCTTCGTCCACGGTCGCTGATGGGCCTACCTCCTTCTTTGTCACCGGGCCCGCCTCTTCCCCTGCTGCCGACCACGGGCCCCACCTCCTCCTCCACCGCCGCTGCTGGCTCTCATTGACTCTGTGGAGAGGAACGCGCTGCTGCACAGTTTACTGTCAGTGATCTGAACAGCGGCGTGTTCGTCTTCAGCCGCCAATGAAAGCCAACAGCAGAGGATCCCATAGCGACCCAGGCGGCCCGCACGGCATCTGGCCCCACTGTGCCCGGGCCCCATAGTGGCCGCCTAGGTCGCTATGATGATTGTTATGCCACTGGACGTGCCGTTAAAAGCTCTACAAAAGCTCCAGAAATGTGTCTGTGGATTCAAGGCCACATTCTTGGGAGGGCAGTCAGCCTTTCCTCTTTAGGTGTTTCCCCATCACGCATGCCCACAGGATGGTGGATCAGCCACTATCAGGAGATGCAGCAAAAATTTTCTTTGCCATACTACCTCAGAGTGGGGCACTTTGTGCTCCATCTTAGATGCTGGCATAAATCCATTTATAATTATCCCCATGGATCAGGGAGGGGTGAAACTTTTCCCCTTGATGCTGCAATAAATGTCATCCTCATTCTCACTGCCAGCACCACAGCCCTATTTTTTCCAAGGCAAGGCTATGTGTGACAATGGCAGGGGGAGGACAGAGATGGCCTTGTGTGCAAAATAATGGCACTGGATTTGGACCATCTGGTTCACATAATGGCGGATGGGCACTTGCTACTACGATGTAGCACATTACACCAAAAAAAAGGCCTCATTAGGAGTCAAAAGAAATGACTAAAATGAGGCTAAAATGAGTGGTGGAGCCAGCCACCATAAGAATGAGTGGCAAAGAGCCTCTGTGCCATGCTGTCTCAGAGTGGGACACTTTGTGCTCTCTTTTGGATGGTGGCATCAGATCCCCACATACTTTTTTTTTATCTGTGAGGGGTGATTTGTTCCACTTGAAGGAACCCCATACCTCCTCCTCACCACTGGCACCACAACCTTCCTCGTCCTTTCAGAGGCCACACCCAGGCCCGGCGCTACCGCAAGGCAAGCGGCCGCCTGAGGGCGCTGCAGGGTGAGGGCGGAAAAAACAGGGCATTTTGACCAGTACTTGCCCCGATGTTTGCGCTATGTTTTTTTTTTTCACTTACCTTCGGTGCGGGAGAGCAGCGGCGAGTCAGCGCTGGTCCGGTGGGAGGAGCTCCAGGTGGGGTCCTAATTTAGCTGGCCAGCGACTGCCAGAGGATCCCGACATGCGCTGCACCTCAGGCAGTCGCCGGCCAGCTAAATTAGTACCCCACCTGGAGCTCCTCCCACCGGACCAGCGCTGACTCGCCACTGCTCTCCCGCACCGAAGGTAAGTGATGAAAAAAAAAACATGCTGTGGGGGAGAAATAAGGAGAAGTGCAGGCAGGGCTGAGCCAAGAGGATGGCAGAATAAGCGGCCACTTTGGGCTCCTAAGAAGAAAGGGGGTTCAAAAACAGGGCTGGACCTGCAACCTCTCCTGCCGAACTAGTTCACAGAAGGACGTGCTCTTTGGCGTTTTCACCATAGGTGCTCAAGTTTCTTGTTCTACACTGCTGACCAATATCACAGAGGCACATGTTTCTTTATGCATGTGGTACCCAATGGGCTGGTACTTACTACTTTTACCACAGCTGATATGCCGCAGGCAGAGGCCACAGACCACGACACTCCTCTTGGAAGCAGAGGCCCACACTGCAGAGCTCTTTCAATTATCTTCCTATTCAAGTGCTTGGGTACTATCCTGAGGCTGGACAATTTGTAGCAAAAACACACCTGTTGTCTATATTTTGAATATACTGTGTAGTATAATCTTGAAGAGTTGTATAAGGCTATAATGTTCCAGATGCACCCTTCCCCCCAAAATAGATTTCAATGGGGTTCACATTTAAGTTTTTTTAATATTCTTGTCCTGGCACTGGTGGGAAGAAAATATTCCCGACATCAATGGGAGGTAAGCGTTTCCTGTTGGTTAGTGATTAGTAGAAGAATGAACATCTCAGCATCAGTGGTAAGTGGGATGTTTGGTGGACTTGGTATGGTGGAGGTGTGATAGGAGCTCTGCAGTGGGGTTCTAGCCTGTAGGGTAATGGGGGCTTGGTGACATTATCTGCAGGGGTTCTGGAGGGGGTAAATGGAGTTTGAGGCACAAAGGAGGGTTGAGGAACACTGCACTTTATGGAGCTGGGGGACAGTTGCAGGGTGCTGTGTGCAGATTGCTCCACCCTCCCACACACTTACTTCTCAGACATGTTGTATGTACAGCCGCCTGCCATACTGACCCCACCAACTTTGCTCCTCAAGAGAAAAAAACAGCAAAAGAAAGACAGAGCAAAAGCAGGCGGGAGGATTCAATAAGAAATACTAAGGGTCAACTGAACGTAAAAAAAGAGGGTTATAAAGAAACAGCTTTTCTCTCTAGTGTTAGATCAATGGGAGCTATGGAACATTGGGTACACCCCTCCACACCAGAGGACACTACTATTGTGTTTGCTCCTCCCACTGCTGGGTGACACAGATTGGAACTATGGAGGTCACCATTATCACACACAAGGTTATAGAGGTGGTGAAAGTGTATGTGTCAAGTACTGTCTGTGTTGTCCAACAACTAACCATCAGATTCCAACCTTCAAGTGAAAGTGACATCTTGGTGATGAAGGTGAGACTGTGATTGGTGGCTCCGGGGGAACACAGACAGTTCATATTATGTAATTTGATGACAATATTAAATATTGCTGCAGAGAAAAGTAATTTGGTCTCGTATGATTATATGGCTCCACCATCTCTGTGTAGATGAACATTAAACACACCCATTGTTCTCTCTTTCCACTCAGAATATTCCATAAGAAGGTTCAAAGAGCAATTATGATATGCAAAGTGCAGTAAACCCATCAACCAATCACACTGCAGGAAGTCAGAATGTAATTGTATGACTGATATGGATTCCCGGACTTTGTACATTGTTTTCTGTCTTAACAAATAAGCCTCAGTTCAGACTTCCCACTTCACTTTTCTGCCCTCAGCGATGGCGTCTGCTGATCTGAAAGAGAAGCTGGAATGTTCCATCTGTCGGAACATTTATACAGATCCGGTAACCCTGAGATGTGGACACAACTTCTGCTGGGAATGTATTGAATGTATGTTGGATACACAGGACGGGTCTGGAGGATATTCCTGTCCTGAATGCAGAGAAGAGTTCCAGGAGGGGTCTGCTCTGCAGAGGGACATAACACTACATAACATTGTGGAGAATTTCCTGTCTACTCAGCCAGATCAGGAGGAGTCCGGGGTCCTCTGTACTTACTGTATTCACACTCCTGTACCTGCTGTGAAATCCTGTCTGCATTGTGAAGCTTCTCTGTGTGACAACCACCTGAGACTCCACAGAAAGTCACCAGAACACGTCTTATGTGACCTCACCACTTCCCTGGAGAACATGAAATGCTCCGTCCATAAGAAGATCCTGGAGTATTACTGCACTGAGGACTCTGCCTGTATCTGTGTGTCCTGCAGGCTGGATGGAGAACATCGAGGACATCAGGTGGAGACTCTGGATGAGGCCTCTGAGAAGAAGAAGAAGAAACTGAGAAATGTTCTGCAGAAACTGATGACAGAGAGAGAGGAGACGGAGAAAAGAGTCCAGAGTCTGGAGGAACACAGGAGGAAAGTACAAGGAGAAGCAGCCGATGAAACAGAGAGAGTCACTGCCCTGCTCAGAGACCTCAGGAGACGTCTGGAGGACCTGGAGAAGAGAGTCCTGAGTGACATCTCAGGGCAGGCAGAGCGGATCTCCATCCCCATTATGGATATGATCCGGGAGCTGGAAATAAAGAAGGACGAGCTGTCCAGGAAGATGCGTGACATTGAGGAGCTGTGTAACATGACGGATCCACTGACTGTCTTACAGGAATCAGACACAGATGACTTGTGTGATACTGAGGATGGAGATGATGAGGACAGAGAGAGACATGATAGACTCCTCCATGATGGAGGAGGTCTGGATGTGGCTGGGATCACACACACATTACACACAGGTATATCTGATATCATGTCTGGGGTAATTGTACAGGAAGGTCCAGGCACACATGTCTATCCACATTCTAGGACAAAGGACAAAGATCACATCACAGCTGAACCATCCAAGCAATGTCCCCAATCCTACCTCGCCATACAACGCTCCTTCCTCCAGGCTAGAGGAGCAAATATCAGGGCTGTACAGCAAACATCGGGGGTGTCGGGGGTTACAGACAAATTACTGGATGTGAACACAGCTGGTAATTATCTAAAGATATCAGATGACAGGAAAACGGCATCCAGGTCAACAAGTAGCCAGAATCGTCCAGAAACTCCAGCGAGATTCAAACTATCTCAGGTGTTGATCAGTCAGAGTGTCACCTTTGGGCAACATTACTGGGAAGTGGATGTCGGGGGGTCATTGATCTGTAGAGTCGGGATGTGTTACCCCAGTATAGCCAGGAGTGGAGAACAATCATGGATTGGAGATAATAAGAAGTCCTGGAGTTTGGAGAGAAATTATAATCAGTACTCAGTGAGACATGACAGTAATCTGATCAGATTACCCGGCAAAGTCTCCAGTAACAGAGTCAGGATAGATCTGGATTATGAGGCCGGGTGGATCTCCTTTTATGATCTGTGTGACCCGATCCGACACCTCCACACCTTTACCACCACCTTCACTGAGCCCCTCCATGCTGCGCTATCAATATTGGAAGGTTGTATAAAGATATCTGGGGGGAATCGGATTTGAGAGACCTGCCAAGAAACAGGTGACATCACAGGGTGGAGAATTCGATTGGTGCCATACTTGATCAATAGGCGGAGGCAGTGGACAAGGAGCACCATTATTGTTGTATTTATAAAGATGCAAGATATTTTTTTATTGGGGTCTCCCCAAAATCTATATCAGGTAATGACCCGGGCATGCAACCTGGTCGTTCAGTAAATGTGGAGGGGGTAGCAAGCTTAAGCTACCCATCCTGAATCATACCAAGCCACATGTCCTCAACACTGGGAGGGTTCCTTGTGGGTGGAGTAAAGATATGTCCTGTTGCACTCCTTACTGATTCCAAAGAATAAACCTGAAAGATCAGTTGGGTGCTTGAAATTACCACTGGACTCTATGTGACATTCCTTGTGGGTGGGGCACAAAATTCCGATGTTGATAGAGACAATGGACTCATCCCTACATTCTTGGCCAAGCAGATTTAGGGGTATGTGGGGAGGGACTTATAGGAATCTTGTAGGGCCCTTTAAAATTAGGGCACCCCCAGATATTGGGCCCTCACCCTCCTTGGTGAATGATGATGATGATGATGATTGGATATAGATATAATGATGGGACGGACTACAATCCCCATTCTCCCCTTCAGTCCCGGCACCTCTATGATCCTTATGGGGCAGAACAATGGTTACATTTCCTCTATGGTCCTATTCATGTGATAAAGAAAAATCCTTCTGATCTGCGTTACTAATGATGAGATGACATCACTAAGTGCTTCTATGCTGATGTTGGGTTCTTTCTAGAATAACAGGCTGACTTGCTGGAATGACTTTACAGAAAGATGTGATTAGAACAAATGGTTGTTCTCCGGATCCTTGGAATGTCTTGTTGTAGAACACAGTGACAGTTGGTCTCCTTGTTCTACAATGAGGTATTTGGGGGTCTGGAGGTGGGACAAGCTGATGAGGTGTTCTGAGATGACAGAAATGAATGTCTCTTGTAATGAATGATGTGCTGCTTGTACAAATTCTTCACTCAATGATGTCATAGGTCACATGTTTATGTTTGGGGGCGGTCCTCCATGACAACTGTCCAGGATTGGAGGTCAG